TGTGTTGCTTATAAGTAATAATATTTTCGTTTTGCAAATGATTTGGACGTTATCGTAAAAAATTCGCTCAAGTTCATGGAATTTGTCACGAAAACCACTTATAATGTTTATATACCGGTAAGCGAAGTTTCTTGGAGATACACCTTCCTTCAGAGCAATGAATTCCAATTTTGGAGCTACTCTTTTCTTATCTGTCTTTATTTTTCTATTTATTCATATTTTATTCAATGACACCTTTAAGAACTCAGATTCTGTAGCTCCGAATTGTTGATTGATGAGCGAATAGTAAATTGGAAAGATGCAGTGGGACCCTATCATGACCTACGGTGAGATGCTCCCGGAATTTGCTTAGAGGAGTTAAGGAAAACCAGGAAACCCGAAGTTAGTGTATCTAGTCTGTGGACCGAAATTTAAGTCAGAGATCTTCGAGCTATGAAGCAGATTTGCTACCCAATCGGTACACAGTTATCTGATGCTGCTGAACATAATACAATCAAACCAAAAAACTCCGTGGTCTGTAGTCGGCAAACGAACTATACCGACCGAGAGATCGCCGCTTTTCGGCGACGTTAGTGCCAATTTTAGCGGATTGAGGGTGTCGCGCGGTCAGTGCAACGAATCCTCACGTCCCCTAACCTCAGTTTTCTAGACCGGAGCCGCTATTTCTTTGAAAAAGCACCTCAGTTATCATCACGAGGCTGAGTAGACCCCGTTCCAGACCCACCACTTCTCAGAAAATCTTGTAGCGCCGAGAATCGAACCCGAGACCTCTATATCTGTAGCCAGGAACTCTGATAGCTAGACCACAGAGGCGGTCCGATGAACAGATAATAAGTTTATTAATTTAAACAAAAGAAAATCTGCCTATACTTACATTATGAGTTCCTGATGAAACTGAATGCAGTCAATCAGGTACTGCTGCAGAATCTTGTCACAAGGCTGAAGAGTGGTGGAGGTCTCTGGTGTTTCATTATTCGATATATCTTCTTCTAATTTCACATGTTTCAATTTAATGAACTCCTTAGAATACCTTAGATCAAATGGTTTATCTCTTTGGTGGGATATGGCACTGTCAGACTGCCCGAAAGATCCTGAAACATGACCTCGGCAATTGCCTTCATGTGATGTATCTGTGTTCACAGATCCGCGTATATCTTCTTCCGTAGACCGATCCACATATAAAGACTTCAGATCATCTCTGACTTTCTTTCTTGAATTCCATTCTCTGTGACATCCGTTAGCTGTCTTGTCTTCCGAGTCTTGTGATTTTTGTATGAAATCATCCACATCTTCGAAAGCTGCACATAATATCTTAAACTGTGTTGTAGTGTGGAAAGCAAACGCGAACATTAACATATAACATCCTGTTATATTACTTACAACTGTGTAGACAGCAATAAAATGGAAAGCGTGCATAAGTTCGTAAGTAGGGGATTTGTTAACGTTGTCCGGAAGCCACATTGCAAGTCCAAAATACCTTCCTTTGTCGTTAGTTAAATCCCTTGGTTCGGCATCTGTGAAATATTCCACGTATCCTAAAATAAAGGGAATGCAGCCCCATGCGGTCTCTACAGTGAAGCATAGACACAATAGGATCCATGTTATAACACGGGATTTTCGAGCAGCTTCCGTAAGAATAACTGTCCGTTTTATTGGTGATCCAACTTTATCCATATGGCCGATAAAACCGGCCTCTAAAGTATCGAATAGTTTTAATAATTCTTTCCTGTTCCATACGAAATAGAAGAATATAACTCCTGTACTTATGTAACACGATACTTGAAACAAGATTGCAGTTAATACTTCAATGTCCTCTAAGTGTTGGTACAATGCCACAAGCTGAGCAGCAATTGCAGGCAGGAACCATATGAGAGAAATTACCGTGAAGATGTCATAAAGAATTGTCTTCCAGCGGCTACCGGAAATACTTGCCGGTGGCAATATTCCGGACAAATTAAATGCTTTGAGTTGCAAGTCAAGCATTTTCAATCTTCTTGGATGTTCTTGCTCTTTAGAGTTAAATAATCCAGTTTCTTTCTCTTTCGCCATTTTAAATTATCCCGTTTCTTTAGTTGCAGTTCTTGATATAAATTCTTGTACAAAATAGGAGGCGTAGCGTGGCAAAATAGTCTGTGTATTTATCTCTGTTCTTGGTTTATTTGAAAGGTAGTCTACATAAAGGGAATAAATCTACTGGTAGCCCACACTCTAGGCAAACAGGATACTTGTATAAGAATTGTTCATAACATTGTTCGTTGATTGCCAAGTCTATAGAAAACTGACGTAGTTGCGTGAAGTTCTTATTCTATTATTGCTTTCGTGATAATTTTAATTATGTCTTATTAATGGAAAAGTTGTTGAATCTCAGTTTTGGAAAACAGATCTTTATTTGGAACTACTGATATTGAAACAAGAAAGTAGTTAAGAGGAGACTACATTCCACCCCTATATATAAAATTGTATATGTGAAATTCATCAATTAAAATAACGTTTATTTTAGAATTACCTCACAATAATAAATATTATTTCATTGTATATTGATTTTTATGAATATTACAATTTTTCTAATTATTTTAAATTAAAGAATATATTTAGTCTGAAATCATCGTAATATGACACAAGAATTATATTACATTTTCAACCAACAAACACGTATAATTGTTAAATGAGTCTCTTGTTCTATTTATATACAGACTAATGAAACAAAACATAAATTTTATTTTCAACAATGGCTATAGATGTGCAACAGTCTGAATGATATGCCATGAATGAAAAAACGAATAACCTTCTTGAGTTTGCAACTTTTTTCAGAAGTTACTCCTAATATTTTTGTTCCTCTTTATCAGATTTGATTGCGGGTCCGAAACTACATACGAGGAAAGTCAATTCAATAACTTTTTTCTTCTCACAACATGTAATTAAATTTATATAAGGGGAAGAAACGAATCAAAGTATGTACTTGATTTCTACGGTTATTGTTACGTTAACTGTATTTTAAAAATTTGGCAGGAAGTTTATGATTCCACTATATTATCTTAAAATCCTGACCACGCGTAATATATTCTGGTTTATGATCGTGTTAGAGGCATTCCATCAATACTGACACCACAACGATGAATTCAGGCTCTCATTGTAGCAGAAGTTCTAAAAATTAAACTCAGTGTCTTCGCTGATTATCATAAAGCACCAAATTCTGTACATTTGTTTCAATAATTACATCAGATTACAAGCGTCCTCTTGCGCCCTAAATAGCACTTGTACTGGCTTCGTATCTATGACTTATTTTTCTCGTATATCTGAATATAGCTGAAATTATATTATATTAATTTATTTCCATAAGTAACTACTCTGTTCAAAATTTATACTTCACCCACAGAATGTTTTTTCTCAAACATAAATATATAGCACACACTTTATATTCCGCCAAGATTATACCATATTTATGTGAACTGGAGTCAGCTGGCTTAGGATGGTGTCTAATTTCTTGATTTGTTATTAGTGACACTGAACTTTCTTCTTGTTATTTTCTCAGAATTAATTAGCCTTGTTATGAAATGACAGCATGAAAATATCCCGACTTGTCAGTGTGTGTTGGAAATAAGCACTCAGATTGGCAGTAGAGCTCACGAAACAGTGGCCTCGATTTTCATAGAACTCTCGCTTCATATATTGAAACTTTGCACATACAAAAACGTTAGGTATAAAATCACTGCATATTTTACGTATCAAAACTTCGTAACAAACTCTTCGGTGTATAATTGTCAAGGTTCTTTATATGTGGATCTGAATTTTATATTCTATGGCATGAAATATTTATGATAACACTTGTCGTTTCTGCCTAGCGGTTGCTAAGCGGTACGAAGCAGAACAATTCATAACACAATACCTTCGGTGTATACAGAGCCTATCACCGCCCAGCCCCGCAGCGGTGAATAATTGAACTAGTGCACGATTATTCTGTTACACCCTCTCGTTATTATGGCCTTAACGTAAAGACACATAGCAAAAGTCATCATTTAACATTAGTTTTAGCCTTAGTCGGTTTACACTTCACTGACAACATGCTATATTATCCTGACAATTGGATCTGTCCCTCACGTAATTTCTTCTCATTAAGACTTCAGTACATTTTCTAGGATAGTCTGTATTTCTTCTTAAACTAAAAAACTAAACCTCATGCCTTGAATCCGCAAGCAAACTATACCGACGGAGAGACCGCCGCTTTTCGGCGAAGTTAGTGCCAAATTTAGCAGATAGAGGATGTCGCATGGTCAGCGCAACGAACCCCCACGGCCGTTAATTTCGGTTCTCTAGACCGGAACCGCTATTTCCTCGAAATAGCTCCTCAATTATCCTCAAAAGGCTGAGTGGACCCCGTTCCAGACCCACTACTCCTCAGAAAATTCGGTAGCTCCGAGAATCGAACCCGGGACCTCTGGATCTGTAGCCAGGAACTCTGACCACTAGATTACTCGTATTTCTTCTTATTTATTCTTTTGAGCGAAAACAGAGTAGGCTTCTATTTTTCTTCCGCAAACCGCTGGAAACGAAAGAATATAAGAAATCCTTTTGATTCTTTTCTTAATTTCTTCCATGTATTGTAATGTCACACCACGGAAACTATTGAACAAATGTTGATGGAACCTATTAGTGGGAGATATAGAATGAGAGTTGGGGGCACGCGGTAGCGTAGTTGGTTGAGGCACTATGCTACAAGCCGGAAAGTTGCGGGATCAATTCACGATGAAGTCACTGGACATTTTCAATTCACCTAACCCTTCCAGCCGCACTATGGCCCTGGGGGTCGAATCAGGCTCTAACAGAAATGAGTACCAGGAATCTTGCTAGGGGTCAAGGGTGGCCGGCGCGTAAGGCTCATAACATCGCAGCCATCTGTGAGCCGATTGTCTAGAAAATATGTGAGCCTCGAAGTCTCACAACATTGCGGGCCTCCACAACCTGTCAAGAAGGATGGCTTTACCTTTACCTTTGCCTTTGCCTTTACCTTTACCTTTACCTTTGCCTTTACCTTTTTACCTCATGAACGATATTTCTACTTTACATTAAACTCAGGTTTTGTCGATTATCCAAAAATAATTGGTAATATAATTAAACATAAATTTGGGTGTAACGTAACTTTGCAACAATAGATTATAGGCGTACTTGCTAATTACTTAAAACCTGAATCGAATCCATCGTTAATTTCGTGTATAGAATCTCCAAGTTTTAATTACATTGTTCCCTTTATCTCAGTCTGGTGTCGATTTAAAAATGGAGAATAAAGTGTTGATGTTCTCTGGTAACATAAATTTGTATTTGTAATATTGCATTTGATTCAACTGTACAGGAACATGAAGGCCAGTGTGACATGCAGAAGACGTGAAGAGTTGTGTAGTAACTCCATGGAGCAAACCCTTTCTTACAAAGCTAATAGTCGCTCAACTAGTCGAGATACGATATTGTACACCTTATGGAGTCCGAAGTTTTGTCGCTCTAGACTTGTTGTTGTCCTCAGCCATATGAATGCAATCCTCATCATTATACCCTGTACTTCTAAGATCCAGTTTAATGTCATCCCCCATCTGTGTGAAGGTAGCGGCTTACGACTGGCTGATCCCCAGTCCAAGGAGTCCTACCGACTGTGTATAGTATTAAGAAATTGAAAGAGCGGCCAATGGTAAAGACAAAAGGAAGTGACCATCTTAGGGGCTTTCCTCTGAATGTATGTGATTAAGTACAACGTAAAGCAAGTGTCACGTAACTTCGAACAAGGCCAAGAGTAACCTTGAAGGCGCAGAAGAAAAATTTCAGACAAGGGGGTGGGTTCGAGGGTGTGAGAAGTGACAGGCGGCCGCCTGTTCGCAGTTACGTGACGCTTGCTTTATATGCTGTCCTATGGCTGAATTGTAGCCGGTTACATTTCTTACGTCTCGTGCATGCGCTTCAGAATAGTGAAATACGCGTACACCTTGTTCACTATCTGAAAAAAAAAATGTAGGATTAGTAACTAGGCGATGTATAAAACACATACAGGTACATATAGTCAATAAACACTGGTATTGAAAACTATACGTAATATCTCTTTCCTATCAACAATTTTGGATCTGTACAATGAAATACTTATATCTCAGAAACGGTTCGGAACAGGACACATGTACTTATACAATTTTTTGTTTAGAATAGCCGATACTATGACCTCCAAGAATATTGACTTTCCTCCTGGAAAACCCTGCATACAAATCGTTTGTCGGTACAGGCTTTGCAAAGCCGATCATGCCTATCTTACTTATGTTACAACGGCAGCTTAGTCACTTGAACGGTCGTAAGCTTCACCGCCGCCAAGTTTAGCCTCTTATATTTCCTGTGTCTGGCTTCACTTTGTCCTGTATTGCAAACATGTTCATTCTCATGATTCTGTATGACCTCGGCTTTTGCTTGCACAATTTTCTTATATAATCGCATGCATACGGAAAGTACATTGTAGCAAATTATACGAATCGTCATGTATGCCTGATGATTGCCCTATGTGACCGAAACATGTTGTAATTACATATATAGACATAGACTAAAAGTTGTTCTGACCAACAAGCTGCGAAAGCTTTGCATTTTCCTAGACTCTGTTATATACTATACGTTATATATATATATCAAGAGCTCAGCTAATGCAGTTGAGTGCATAAATACAATATTAACAAAATAAAGCTGACCCTGTAATAGGTCATGGAGGCCCATAGGTTTGTGAGACATCGAGGCTCCCACATTTTCTCTAGACAATCGGCTTACAGATGGCAAGAAAGATTGTTAGCCTTACGCGTCGACCGCCCCTTACCCCCCAGGAAGATTCCTGGTACTCATTTCTGTTAAAGGTTGAGGTAAATTGAAAAATTCCGCCTTATCGGGACTCGAACCCGCCACATTCCGGCTTGTAGCATAGTGCCTCAACCAACTACGCTACCGCGTGCCCCCCACAGGTATAATACAATACACTCTAAAAGGTATATTTAACGTTATAATGCTTACATTAGCGAAAGTTTCCAGGGATACGGTGTAGAATTTTCCCGCAGTGAATGTAACAGGCTCCTGGGCACGAGAAATGAGTGTCTGTAGCAACTTCTTAAACTTTTGTGAACGGTTGTACCAGCCGCAACCATACGCTATCTTCTCAACCTCCAGACTCTGTGAGGTGGAGGTAGAACTTAAGGCTTAGAAACATAACACATTGTGGTAATGATAATCAGTCATCAGAATTATTTGTGTCCTTTATAATAAATTCATACTAGTAAAATCGTTAATACAATACAAGCTTCATAATATTGTGTGAAGTATCACCTGAGCTGTAAGATAATCACCACACCAGCATATCATCAGGGGCCAGGAGCAGACGTTTGCCAAGGTGACGATGAATTTAACGAGCCCCTCATTGTCACCCTGAGAAGAATACACATTAAAGCACACATCAGTATACAAGCTGCTGAACGCTATAAACTAATACTCCGTGGTTTTATTCCGCAAGGGAACTATACCGACCGAGCGACCGCCGCATGTCGGCGAAGTCAGTGCCAATTTTAGCGGTTAGAGGGTGTTGCGTGGTCAGCGCAACGAATTCCCACAGCCGTTAATTTCGGTATTTTAGACCGGAGCCACTGTTTTCTTGAAATAGCTCCTCCGGCGGCGGTCGCTCGGTCGGTACAGCTCGCTTGCGGACTAAAACCACGGAATTTGGTTTGTTTTTGATTTTGGATGCGCCGACTTAGGCATCACGGTGGCCCTCCTTTAAATCTTCCCCCGATCATCCTATTATTCAACACATTATAAACCAAACAACGTCAAATAGACTAACAACATGTATTCCTCGAGAGTAGAAACAATGTTACTTCTTATTTGTTTATATATTAAGGCATTATTACCGAGCAAAGCGACATAAACGGCAACGCCATTGATTTGTATTAGATAGCAGCTCGGTTCAATTCTCGGCGGGGTTACTAACTACTTTGATTGAGTTATTTAATGACATATCTGACTGTGTCCAGGAAAAGACCGCCTCTGTGGTCTAGGGTCAGAGTTCTTGGCTACAGATCCAGAGGTTCCGGGTTCGATTCCCGGCACCACCAGATTTTCTGAGAAGTAGTGGGTCTGGAACGGGGTCCCCTCAGCCTCTTGAGGATAACTGGGGCTCCATTTCAAGGAAACAATGGCTCCAATGTAGAAACCAGAGATTAACGGCCGTGGGGATCCGTTGCGCTGACCACGCGACGCTCTCTATCCGCTAAAGTTGGTACTAACTTCGCCGACAAGCGGCGGTCACTCGGTCGGTATAGTTCGCTTGCGGACTAAAACCACTGTGTTTTTTTTTGTGTCCAGGAAAATTACCGGATAGTAGCTTAGATTAAGACATGGTCACTTCCTTCCAAATCCGTCCCAGTTCATCATTTTATAGCCATCTACCGTTTTACTTTATGTAATATGCGCTATTGAGAGCGTCGTTGAATAAACCACTAATAATTTTTGTATTATTTACTTGTTTATTTAACTCGGTATATTTCGCTTGCGGACTAAAACTACGGACTTTGGTTGTTTTTTTTCACTTGTTTCTTTGTGTGAGTTTTCCCATATGTTAATGATAAGAATCCAGACATATCTGTCCCAAGAAAATGTTCGTTTCATGCTTTACGTCTAGAATACACGCTAATAAATAATTACTCACCATGGCTACTTGAAACGCTGCCATGCACATCATGGCTTCACTGGTGAGGAAATACACCAGAAACATTGGACTCAGAAAGTCTTTAACGATTTTGCAATACCTGAAAAGAAAAATAACCCTCCATATTTAAAGGCATTAACAGTTTAAAAGAGCTCATTGTAAGAAATTTCGATCTTTACTAAATATGATTTCTATGCGGTTCGTTTCGTATCAGATACTTGATATGTAGTGAAAGAAAAGCATTGGACCAATTCTTCCAAAACTGTCTTGTCTTATGTCCATATGAAAATCAGCCCCAAACACCTGCAGTAAAATCTACAACATTTCAAAGAATAAAAATGTTTTAATAACATCATACTTCTGCATAGAGTTGGAGAATTCCCTAGAATTCTTAAAATAATCCACGACAGGTTTCCCTCACACCCTTTCCTGCTCACGTAATAAACCATTCTCCGGTCTTCTTCAGCCCTCCACAAGCCGAACCCCTCAAAGGGACACAATGCGCTTGTGCAAACCAATAAACACAATTATTTAACACGAAACATTTTCTAAAATTAATTATGGCGTCGATCGTAATATATATGAGTGAAGAACAGTATTATGATGCAGATAGGTGGTACCCGGTTCGAATCAAAGCCCTAAAACTGTCTCTAGATTAAGGATGTATAAATTTTCCACAAATTTTCCTGGGAAATCCGGAAATAGTGCTTCAAATTTGGCTATATAATCTGAGTTATTGACAGTGTACGTTGAATAAACTGCTAATTACAAACAGACACGAATGTTAAAGAGTTTATATGAGCTATGCGTTTGATCAGATTTATAAAATTAACTTGAAGATTTCATCTATACGAGTACTGTGAAGGACTTTCTCAAAGCATTGTTAGGCAATGGCTCAGCAAGACCCTCGCAACACACATGCATGCGACAAGAGGACTTCCATCTCTAGGCAACGGAGAGGTAAACACGCCATGTAATCTTGGGATGCAGCCCTTGTGATAGATACTACAACAATAGGAGAAGTGGGAAGAGTTTTCTGCAGGTCCGTGCCGAGAAGCACGACAGTCTGAAGCAATGAAGAGTCACAGTGAGTCATAGTCAAGTGATAGTCGAGTTCAGCTGAGTAGGAAGAAGTTACCAGTGTGTCAGTGAATTGTTAATTGTTGTAAACAGTTGTATAAATGCCCAATGAATTCGATCACCAAACTCAAAACCCGTCTTTTAAGCCATGAAAACCCCGGATACGTGACAATGCAAACATATTATAGCAATGTCCACTCTGAAATTTCAGTCTAAGAACTCCCCATACTAAGATAATTCACACATTTCTTTAATTCGCGTATTTATTCGCTTTAAAATGAGCATACGAGGAAGTAGATATATTTATGGCAATTATTATTTACAGCGCAAAATATTAGTACTCACTCTAGAATTGCTTGATGGTATTTTATGCAGTTTATAAAATTGTCGTTAATCCGTTGCTCATAGAACGCATTTCCAGTTACGTCGTCCGCGTTGTCATGCTCAGTTGTTTGATTCCCAGACATTTCATCTGCAATTAGGCTTCGAATATCTTCCGGATACTGACTTTCGTTTAATAAGCAAGATCTTCCTTCTTCAGAAGCAGCGGTTTTATCGGAGTTAGACACAGCAGTGCAAGGATCGTGAACTGAACCACTGATAATTGTGTGCTTCGTTAAAGAACGGATCCGCCTTAGTCCGTGGACTTGCTCTTCCATTTCATATGTTTCTTCTAGAACTACTTTCTCTATGTTCTCAAAAGAAGAAACCAGCAATTTAAAATGTGTTGATATATGAAACATCATGAAAAATAATATGACATTGCAGCATGTGTAGTGACTCACAGATACAAACACTGTAAGTACTTGACATAAATATATTACTTTATACATAGAAGGTTCGGATAATTCTTTTGGAAGCCATAATATGTAACAATAATACTTCCAAATCTCCTCCGAACTACTTTCGATGTCTTTCTCTGTTGCAGAGTCGATGTATTTGAGAATTAATGGTGAGCAGCTCCAACCGAGAATAACTGACGAGAAGATAGAAACTAGAATACATATCACGACCACAGAATTTCTCGATGCTTCCTTAAGTATTTTTATTTTATTCTGTGATGTAACAAGAGTGTCTATATAAGCAACGAAATCGGTCTCTAGTATGTCAAGTAACAATGTGAGTGTCCGTCCTCTGACCACGAAATATGATGCCAGTATTGTTGCATCAGCTGCAAAAATTATCTGAAATAGAATCTTTGTTATCATATCGATATTACCCCAGTATTTATAAATAGCAATTAACATTGAACAGACTTGAGGACCGTAAATGCAACAGAGGTAGAATGTAGTAACTGAGATGAAAAGTTTATGCTTCCATGCAGACCTAACTACATTTTCAGGTGCGAGGACACCAAAAATTCTCAATATTTTCAATTGCAGTCTCATTAAATCCATCCTCGTCAAGTTTCCTACTTGTCCGCGTTCAAGTTCTTCATTTTCTCGACTGCTGGGAGCCATGTTTGCATTCAGAGAGATGGGTGTGCGGCTGTCGCTACGAGATGGCGCTGAGTGATCAGTCATACGCTAAGTAATACACGCACGTGTGTTGTCATGCGAGTGCTAAAGGTATCTGCTGCTACTGATATACGTGTTTAGTAACTAGTATTGACTCAAAGCGAGGGAAGTGAGTTTGCAGTATTGCGTTTTTGTAACGTATCTACTAGTATATGCAAGGTTTGCTGATGATGCCTTATACTTTTATCGATCTTTCGGACTGAAATAGAGTTCCTTCTCCCATATCTGAAATACGCGTCTGAATACTTGAACATATTCAGTTGGACTTTGGTGCGAATATAACTGAGCGTTGTTTCCAGAATCGGAAGCCAAGCCCCCTCCATAGGGGGGTTCTTCGAAGAATAAAAGGATAATGGGGATGCTGAATGTATTTCAACCCTAAAAGAACATATTAAAACATAAAATGAGGATATAATGGAAAGGATACTAGACAGATATCAAGACTCAACAGTAATCATGTTTTTAAACTGCTAATTACGTATCGTTTTAAGAGATATATGAGCCGTTACACTTCATAATACATATGAACGAGAAGAGGGTCCTTCATGTGTAACAAGTTTAAGCTCGCCCCGGCGCCGCCCACACAGTACCACGTGCTTCACTGGGTCACACACAGACGGACACAGCCATCTGCAAGATGTTCTAAGTAACTAACAGTAGAAAACGAGGACCGTCGTTTTGTTCCTCTGCTTGCGCAACAGAAACATCTAATTTATTTTAATTGATTTTAACTAATTAATAAGCTGTCCATCTAGCACAGGGGTCACCAAACTTTTCGAACCGCGGGCCACATTAGGTAATTCAGCACTTTCAACAGGCCGGATAAGATGAGAAATTAATAACTCTACGTATATGAGTTTTATTGAAAGCACAGAATTTCATAAACTAAATACAAAGTACGTGAGAATAAATTATCGTATATTAATGACAGCAGACAGTAGCAGCAAATGTTCATATTTTCATCACAAATTATATTAAAACAATTAATGTGAATGATGGAAATCTTTTTGCATTCTTAAAATCTGATTACATTGAGGTTCAAATTTTGAAACACTAATCACAAGTAGCAACTTTAAAAGTTCATCGGATAAATTTGCCCTGTATTTCGACTTGATGTACTTCATCTGGGAAAAAGTTTGTTCACACAGATATGTCGTCCAAAAATGGAGATAAANATCGCTTCCGAAATTGTTCTTTGAAATCTAAAATGACTAAATTTGCAAACGAGGAAGAAAATTCTGCTTCTCCCTTTTTATGCAACTCTGCACAGTGTAACATATGAACAAAGTTACAATTTTTCACTTGGCTTTCCAGAAGTATCAACTTTGCTCTGAATGCCTTGATAAGTGCAAATAAATCACAGACTAAGTTATTTTCACCCTGCAACTTTAAATTCAAATGGTTCATACGGTTCACCATATCAGCAAAAAATACTAGTTTCCAAAGCCACTCGGTATCTGATAAAAATGTTTCGTGATGGTTTTTCTCGGTAAGAAATATATCAATTTCATTCCTGAGCTGAAAGAAGCGCGAAAGAACCTTTCCACAGCTAAGCTATCGAACTGCAGTATAATATGTCAGGTCAATAAGCTCGGAATCACATTTACCGGTACTCATTGGAAAATTAGTTCAATTGGCACATTTCTGCACAATTCTTTCCCGGGCCGCATAAAATCACATCGCGGGCCGCATTTGGCCTGCGGGCCGTAGTTTGGAGACCCTTGCTCTAGCAGGTCGTAGGTTTGTGAGGAATCGCAACTCCCACGTTTTCTACACAATGGACTCACATATGGAGGTGAGGTTGTCAGCCTTACGCGCCTGCCGCCCTTTGCCCCCAGGAAGATTCCTGGTACTCATTTCTGCTACAGGGTGTGTCGACCCCAGGGACATAGTGAGGCCTGAAAAATTTGGTAAATTAAAATATCCAATGACCTCATCGGAAATCGAATTCGCAGTCTTCCAGCTTGCAGAACTTTTATGTATAGAGTGAAAGAAGCATGCTTTAATACACCACGCTTTGAAGACGGGTTCGGAATGGATGTATAATTCCACGCGTGCTTAACCTTGGGAGTAGGTGGAAGTGAGTGGTCAGCTTCCCGCTTCGGCCGCTCTACTGCCCCAGTGTCCTTTACACAGTGAACTCTGGAGTCTCTATAGTCCGTCTGGACGTTGTGCAAAAGAAAATTATCTTGCCCTGCCGGAAATCCAAGACCGTTTCCTCGACCACCCAACCCGTCTCAGCCTCATGAGATATCTTCCGACTCGTGATTTTGGCCATGTAGGCGAAAATAAATGTGCTAAGTACTAGCCTTTCTGAAACTGAATTATGACTTTAATAGACCTTAGGTTCTACCAGCGGTGACTGTGAAGATCCCCCCTATATTCTGAATTATAACGCCATATAAACCGGTGGAAGTTCACCGACGATTCGGAGAATATATTTTCCCCAGTTTAGCTTAGCTGTGGGCTGAATTTTCATGGTTACTTTTACTGGCATATTCTTCAAACTTTAGGATGGATATAACACATTCCCCCGAAACGTTGGGGAGCTTCTACCTGTCTACATTGCTGTACATTCCACAAGATACAAAAGCTCACTAACACATCTAGTCCTATATCTAAGGCTATGTATAAATATAGAAACAGCTAAGTAGTTGCCTGAGGTTGTTTATTTTTAAGTGTTGAAACTGGAATTGGAAATCATCTTCTTCACCATCGGGCCTTCAGCCCCGATCGGACTCAGCTGTCTTTCCGTCTGTTCCTATATCCTTCCACGTCCTTTCTCCTCTCAGTTAATCTATCCTTTATTTATATTCCAAATTAATTCATGATCTGATATCCTATAAAAAGCCTAGTGGTTCATTTGGTTGATTTAAGGAAATTAACAGCACTGGATTTATATTGAGCAAAATTCTAACTCCCATTTAATATTATAAAAAAATCCTGTGTGTAGGGCACCAACACGACTCTCTTCTGTCGAGTTGTTGTCGAAGAAAATTGATCACTATTCACCTTCAATTAAGCCGAAATTCCCAGTCTCCGAAATAAACGCCATGGCTTTGTAGTTAGGAGAAAAGATAACATTCCTACTGTCACGCATTAGTGAACAGACACGGGGTTTGTGCTGGTAATTGGTTTTATTGAACGCTTATAGGATGTAACTATAACAGTCTCACTGTTGTACACACTCTGCAAATAACCATATCACAAGCTAAACCTTCTCACTCTGTTGCTTGGTAGCGGCGTCCAACATCTAATCACCAGCTACGAGTGACTATTTCCGACTCACAACTGATTTGATTCAGGTTTCGGGTAAATTGCTGCTGGCCTTGGTCGGGGCGTCGCAATGGTACCCTTCATCGTCCAGTCGTAGCGTCGTGGCGCCTCAAATCCGTGGATGAATAGTGGGCATGCATGGACGACCCTGAATGAATTCTTTGCTGATAATGGCCAGGAGTCAGGTATACTAAAGCCTCCTTCAGGATGGGGAGGATCTCCCATGATGCCATCTGCTCGTTCTCTCTCTCTCGGGCATTTCTGTGGAGATATCCGATCTGGCGATTGTCACTGTTGTATGGTACATGAATTGTCTTCTACTCGTCCCTCGGCGTTCAGGTCGTGATGACTGTCATTTTCCGGCACGCAGATGTCACGATACACTGAAGCCTTCTGCTCGGTTACTTCTGCTCTTTTCTCTCGTCTCCGCCGATCTCTTTTCCAGAACTCGTCCTCGTGCATTTCCGTCGCGCAGTCTCTTCTAAGATGGCCGACGCCCCCACACCGCCAACAGACGAGTACGTCTTTCCTGCCTTTCCATCTCCTTGATGACCATGGTCCATCCGTAAACACAGAGGGCACTGAGTTCCGGCTGCCTCTACGCCATACTGGAGTTCCGAATTCTGCCACTGACGCTCCTAGCTCCCGCTGTGTCGTTTCTTTCAGCTTTTTCATCGCTGTGTTGAGCTCCTCGCTGAGCCTACGTGTCTGATGATCGACAGACGCCATGATGCTTGCTACCCCCATGCTGATCGTTTCTTGAAATTCAGTCTGGACGGATAGCATTGCTCTTATGGTCGTCATCATCACCTCTTGGCCGGCCCTTATTGTGGTCCACGTCTCTTCCTGGCCAGCTTTTATCGTGGTCTCAGACATTTCTTGGACGGTGTTTGTGGCCGTGTCCAGCTTGGCCTCGTTCTTTTCTTCATTGACCGTCATCTTTTCCAGGTGGGCCGCCATTATCTCATGGCTGACATCCTTCTGTACTTTAACCATGTCTTGAGTGGCAATAATTTTGGCTCTAAGCATTTCTAGGTCGGTCTCTATTTTGGCTAATGCTTGATAATGCTGAAACACGTGCAATTCTTCTATGGTGGCTCTCAAATTTTCCATGACTGCTATAAATAGTTATCACGTTGGTTCCAATACAATCAAGCCAGCTGATCCAATCCCAATTCTGCCACAAGTTGTCACGTATTAGTTTACTATATACGAGGTTTTGATTGGTAACTGGATTTACTGAATGCTTATGACTCGTTGTACAAATAACTATTACACACTAATCTGTACACTCTAGAAATCAGTGCAGCACACAGTAAGTATTTTAACTCTCTTGCTTGGTAGCGGCGTCTGACAATGGGGTTCTCGCTAACATTCCACTTTATATAACCTCGGCACGGACATCACAGGAAACACAGCTTACAACAATTTAGTTTGTTGCGTGTGTATTCATTATCATAGTAACGTGTTTATGGAGCTGTTGCCTAGGAATGGGTATCTTTTTGGCTTCACTGTTCCGGCTTTGAGTCGTCATGTTCCAATGAGTAAACGAATAAGTGAGCATTCTAATGTTGCCTGCGATTGTCATTAATATCTTCCAAGTCCAGTGCTTAGTACTGCCGTCTCGTATTTGTGAAGTTCTTGGTTCCAGTCTCTGCCCAGTTAATGGTATATTGACAACGAGGTTCGTGGTTTCTATGAGCCACTTCAGTTCAGTACCGGATGGTACCCAAATTCGGACCACGTTATTTTCTGTCCAATTCTTGTCCAATTCATTATACACTAATTCACGTCTCGGCCAAATTTACAGTCCTGGGGGACTCGGCACAATAAAAATTGAGGCCCTTATCAGTAACGACTAATTATTGTGTGAAACGTTTTTTTTTTAACTAAACGTTCAAACACATCATTCGTGTTAGTAAAGACGCTGATGTCTCAATAAAGTCTCTGAAATCTATTTTTGTTTCGTGGAGGCGCCAACTTGACCTCCACGGTCGCTTCTTCTTAAATCTGCCCCCGATCATCCTATTATTCGACACATAATATACCAAACAACGTCAAATAGACTAACAACATGTATTCCTCGAGAGCAGAATCATGGTTACTTCTTATTTATTTATATAGATTGTAACGTGGATATGTGGAGAAAACAAAAGTAATGAAAATTTCGAGACAACCAACCCCAGTCACAATAAAGATAGACCAAAAACAAGTGGAGAATGTGAAATGTTTTAAATATTTGGGTAGCTTGTTAACAGATGATGGAAGGTGTACTTGTGAAATTAAATCCAGGATTGCCATGGCAAAAGCTGCATTTAGCAAGAAGAAGAATCTTTTTACCAGCAAATTGGACTTAAATTTGAGGAAGAAACTAGTGAAATGCTACATTTGGAGCATAGCTCTGTATGGGGCTGAAACATGGACACTTAGGGCAGTAGATCAGAAACATCTGGAAAGTTTCGAAATGTGGTGTTGGAGAAGGATGGAGAAGATCAGTTGGACCGATTATGTGAGAAATGAAGAAGTGTTAATTAGAGTCAGTGAGCAGAGGAATATCCTACACGAAATAAGAAAACGGAAGGCTAATTGGATTGGTCATGTTTTACGCAGAAACTGCCTTCTAAAAGAAGCTATCGAAGGAAAGATAGATGGGCGGATAGAAGTGACAAGAAGACGAGGAAGAAGACGTAAGAAGATGCTGGATGACCTTGGGGACAGAAGAGGATACTGTCATTTGAAGGAGAAAGCTCTAGATCGCATTAAGTGGAGGAATTGTTTTGAAAGAGACTGTGGACCTGTCGTCTTGACAGATTACTGATGATGATGATGTAACGTGGATGACAAGGACGTTTCTAAGCAATGGCTCGGTAAACAAACCTCAATAATAGAAAGACTGTTCTCTACGTGGTCCGCACCGCGACCGTTGCTAAGCAACAACGAGGTAAACAAGCCTCTACAACAATAGAGGCTGTGCTATCTGTGTGTTCTGTGTGTCGAGGCTATATAACGACAGTTACAAATTACAACAGGCTTCAGTTCAACAAAACGAGTGTGAGTGCTAAGCAGTGGATTTTGGTGATCCAACAGTGCAAAACATCACTGACATATTCACAAACTGAAGGACGGAGGTAAAGGGTATTCCTAACAATATTAATCAAAACACTGACACCTCTACACCTTCATTCAGCAAATGAAGCCCATGTTTATATATTTTATTTACTCTGTGTATATCATAGCTTGTTTGGAACTATTCCACATTGTCCACAATGATTTAGTAACGAGGTTAAAAAATCGCCTGCAAGGGGAAGTATATAAAATTTCTTCAAAGGGCTCCTCTTTTTTACACCTGCCGTTGTTGAAATTATTTTCTTTTATTTGTTAAATACTTACTGATGTCGGTTGGTTCTGTGACGTGAGAGAATAGAAATGAGCGGAGTGAACTAACTAATTTTAAACTACGTTGAATACTAGTTGCACTATGTTAAAATCCGAACGAAAACTACGTGTATCGAATGCTTCACCCGATAGTTACATTCTACTATCGATATCACGGGCCGGCGCTACTTACAAATGACCTTTTTTATTGATTTTTATTGTTCGTACTCCCTCGTGTTCCAGAGGTATCCAGGAGACTGTAAATATTGGATGATTAATTCGATAGTGGTAAACCTACTAACGACAGTGAAAATAATTCGCTACGCGTTAGGCTGGATTAAGGGCAGGAGCTTGGCGACATCTGCCAAGATCTTCTGTACTCCAGCGGTTCGCAGCTGAGGTGTCGTCGAACGCCTACTGCGGATCAAATTGTTCTCATTTAGCTGTCCAGATGGCATTGTGTGTCAATATGGCGTCTGCTATAGAGGTGTAAAACCTGTGAATATCTGTAGAGTGAGAAATATTGCAATTTATAGTGACTTAAAAGATTGTGTTTCAACGCCATGGCCGAAGCGGGAGAAGTGGTGAGTGTTACTTCATTTTATAATTGCAAAGAAGCGTATCAATATTTTAATGACGGTAGAATGTGTATAGAATAGCCCGGAAATAAAAATTTGTAAAAGACTGATACTCAGTTAAATGTAGGACTTTAGCCTGTTTGAGGTCAAGGATCTTATTCTAATAATTTCTGGTTGATTATATTACTTATACGCAGCACTGACAATTCTGTGTGAGAATTTATGCTTCTGGTTTTAAATGTTTTTGTTATTGACAGGTGAAAATCAGAAGTTTAATTGAAACAAGACATCTCTATCAAAATTGTTGCCACTTCATTTCTACAAAACTTTGAAACATGACGCAATTTTTATAAATTCACAGTTTAGTTATGTTAGCTGCAGTTACTTTAACTGACAGCAGAAGAAATAATTTATGCATATTAAAATTATCATACTGTCATATGGTTAAATGCCATTTTAATAGCCATAAACTCATTGAAATTTATGTATGTCTCAAGTAGGAATGCTTCAGTTGAATTGTTCTAAACCGGTATTCTGTCCCAGCAGATACATAATTCATGAAAACACACTTTTTAGTAAGCTGTGAGCAATCTTCCTGTGTCCTTACCACCTAGCCTTTTGGAATCATCCTAACATATCCTTTCCAGGTGATATAACTCTGTTGCAGTTGACAGATCAATGTAAATCTAAAAGAAATAGCAGGTCATTACCGCTTTGTAAGAGTTTTCAGTAGCTGTTTCTTTTGGAAACAGAAGTCAGATATTTTGGATCATTCTCTGCAAAGGGTTTTAAAAGTGATCTATTCACTATATGAACATTATGTTGGACACTGTCCATTACCTTGGGTCCATTTAAAGTACACATTTTAAATATTCTTCAGACAATCAACAGTGTGCAACATAATACTCATTTAATTCTGTATTATGCCACTTGGTCATCCAGCCCGTAAGCAGTCCCTACACTGCAAAAAAGTTATAAATTTACAAAGAGCTAAAGGCCAAATCAGGGATGAAGCCCCACACTCGAAGACAGGAAGTGTTAATGTGCTGCCTGCTCTAGGGCTCTACTACTCACCTTCGGTGGTGCTGACAGATTATGGAACAGCGATGGAATCAGAATTTGCAAGGAAAACTGAAGAGACTTTAAGATAAACCTGCTTCATTGCCACTTCATCCACCTTAAATCTGATACGAAATCATCTGGCATTGATCCTAGGTCTCCGTGGTTCGAAACCAATGTCTGTTTGGCTATGGCAAGGCCATCTTATGTAATGTCAACAAAATATGGCAGTTTATTTCCTTTAGAACATAAATAAGATTCTACACTTTCCTGTACTAATCAGTTTATAGCAGAAAATGACTTCATTTCATAATTATAAAGAAATCAATTTCACACGTTTCTTTGGAAAATTTCATATTACCCTACTAACTAAAATCCTTCCTCGTACCATACCATTCATGATGCACAATATGAGGGGCAAAAGGGGTAAGGTGTACAGCATAAAACCTCTCCTGACATAATGCTGGCAACGTACACTCAGTTACAATAAGCAAGATGCTGGTGACAGTCATTACATAACATTACATGGAGACAGAATGCCACTACTAACAGTTATGTTAAATTTATTTTAACTGTAGCTTCTAACTTGGGTTTTATTTGGTATCATGTGTTCGGTTAGCATTGACTCATTGCTACATTATTAACATTATATGTAAACATTTTTTAAATTAAGAGGAGATTGAACTTGGGTAATGCTTGCTACCATTCAGTCCAGAACCTTTGGTCTTCTCCTCTGCTGTCCAGAAACATAAAAATTAGAATATACAAAACCACAATTTTGCCTGTGGTTCTGTATGGGTGTGAAACTCGGTCTCTGACATTAAGGGAGGAAAACATACTGAGGATGTCTGAGAATAGGGTGTTGAGGAGAATATTCGACAGAAGAGAGATGAAGTGACAGGAGGTTGGAGAAAACTGCATAATGAGGCACTTCATAACTTGTACTCTTCTCCAAGTATAATTAGAATGATCAAGTCAAGGAGGATGAGATGGGCAGGGAATGTAGCACGAATGGGTAAGAGGAGGAATGCATATAGGATATTGGTGGGAAAGCCAGTGGTAGCACCTGGTAGTGGCTCAGCTACTCAAGAGTTTCCCAGCATTTTATGGAATCAGAAGGTTTACTGCCGTGTTCACAAGAGCCCTCCACTGGTCCCTATCCCGAGCTAGATCGATCCAGCCCATATCCCAACCTATCTCTCTTAAGATCCATTTTAATATTATCCACCCATGTACAAGTAGTCGGGATAGCGTAGTCGATATAGCGACTGGCTACAGGCTGGATAACAGAGGGGTCGGAGTTAAGTCCCAATAGGGTGAAGAATTTTCTCCACATCGTTCAGACTGGCTCTGGGGTCCATCCAGCCTCATATCCAATGGGTACCGGGGGCCCTTTCCCCGGAGGTAAAGCGGCCGGGGCGTGAAGCTGACCTTTCACCTCCAGCCAGTGCCGAGGTTAAGAAAATATGGATCTATACTTCCACTCCCCCAAACGCCTTCATGGCATAGTGCTTAATTAATTAAACACAGGGACAATTTTACCTTCTTTTGCCTCCCACGTACATCCAGATCTTTCTGGCTTTTCCACCAATATCCTATATGCATTCCTCTTCTCCCCATTCGTGCTACATGCCCTGCCCACCTCATCCTCCTTGACTTTAATTATACTAGGAGAAGAGTACAAGTTATGAAGCTCCTGTCACTTCGTCTCTCTTCGGTCCAGATATTCTCAGTGCCCTGTTCTCACATACCTTCAGTCTATGTTCTTCTCATAATGTGAGAGCTCAAGTTCCACGCCCATACAAAACTACAGGCAGACGGTAGGAAGCATATGCAGTGCAAAGTTAATTGTAGTGATGATTGCAATGAAGACAGATAACTGATTGCAAGCTGTGATGACAATACATTTTATTCAGATAATCATTATGACTGTGCAGTAAAGTGATCCCTGTGCTGAACTAATTAAGCACTACGCCATGAAGACGTATGGGGGAGTGGTTGTATAGAACCACGTTTTCTTTACCTCGGCACTTGTTGCAAGTGAATGGTCAGCTTCACACCCGTTTCGATTTACCCCCGGGGAAAGAGTCCTGGTAATCATTGTATTGGAGGTTGTGTAGACCCAAGAGCCGGTCTCGACGATTCGAGAAGTGAAAAATTCTTTACCCTACCGAGACTCGAACTCCGACTCCTCGGTTGTCCAGCGAGTAGCCAGTCCCTATAACAACTACGCTATCCTGGCTTACCTATAAGCTGGAAGGGGCTGGAATGTGTTTACATGCACCCCGGGGACACTGAACAAGCAGCATGTGATGTGGATTGGACTGAACTGGTTCAGGATAGGAGCATTTATCGTCTGATTCGGGTTTTATAATGCTCAAAAATGGTCACGGATATTTCGATAAAAAACGTTTAAGTAGGGGTTTGAGGTAACGAAGAGGGATGAAGTGACAGGAGGCTGGAGAAAACTGCATAGTGAGGAGCTTCATAACTTGTATTCTTCTCCAAGTATAATTAGAATGATCAAATCGAGGAGGATGGGGTTGACAGGGCATGTAGCACGAATGGGGGAGAAGAGGAATGCATATAGGATATTGGTGGGAACACCAGAAGGAAAGAGACCGTTGGGAAGACCAAGGCGTAGGTGGGTGGACAATATTAAAATGAATCTTAGAGAGATATGATGGAATGGTATGGCTTGGATTGATCTGGCTCAGGATAGGGACCAGTGGAGGGCTCTTGTGAACACGGCAATGAACCTTCGGGTTCCATAAAATGCAGGGAAGTTCGTGAGTAGCTGCAGATTTGGCTTCTCAAGAAGGGCTCAGCTCCATGAGTAAGTAAGTAAGTAAGTAAGGGGTTTGAGGTTCTCTCACAGCGGACTGTACGGTGGAGACAGAGTATGGTCACACGGTCTGGACGTGAGACAAACATGCGTGGAGAGTGTAGAGGATGAAGGTCGGCCAATGGCCAGTCCAGTCAAGCAACCCTGTGCTGGCTGTCGTCATTCAGTTTATTGCACCCAATACTTGCATCGCATACAGTCTGTCCATCGTGTTCACTCTACGCGACACTGATGGGCAGTAACTAAACTGGTAACCTGTTAGGCCAGGCAGAGAAGGAAGTGCCGCGTCTTAGGTTCGCACCGTGTCAGTTACTTACTCAAGAAGCTGAGCCCTTCTTAACGAGAAGTAAAATCTGCAGCTACTCAAGAATTTCCCAGCATTTTATGAAACCCGAATGTTCATTATCGTGTTCACAAGAGTCCTCCATTGGTCATTTCCTGAGCCAGATCAATCCAATCCATGCCATCGCATTAATATTGTCCACCCAACTACGCCTTGGTCTTCCCAGTGGTCTCTTTCCGTATGGTTTTCCCACCAATATCCTATATGTATTCCTCGTCATACCCATTCGTGCTATATGTCCTGCCCACCTCAGCCTCCTTCACTTGATCATTCTAATTATAATTGGAGAAGAGTACAAGTTATGAAGCTCCTCATTATGCAGTTTTCTCCAACCTCCCATCACTTCATCTCTCT